CACACACACACACACACACACATACACACGCACGCACGAACGCACGCACACACACACACACTGCATGGTGATACACGCCTCAGTACGAACAATTAACGTCGCTCTCCCTGCTATGTCACTCGTTCAACGCCATTTTAAACTTTCATAAATATTCGTTATGAAATCACATGATGCTTTCCACTTTCAGGGTTCGCACGCGTGCCTATCGGTGCAGGAGAAGCTGCACCTAGGGGGCGCTGCCGACTTCTCGGTCGTCGCTGCCAGACTCGAGATGAGTGAAGGCATCGTCGGCTGCGTGCGTGACTTAATCGTTAACAACCACGCGTACGACCTGCGGCCGCTGCCGAGGGGAGAGGCAGTGGCGGGAGTTAACGTGGGTATGTTGCTTGTGAATCTTAAGGAACGTACGGCCGAATGTGTTGGGCAGGATCGTCGAAGAATGCGAAGAGCATTTTAGGAAACTTGTGTGTGGTGGGGGGAGAGGGGAGGGGGTGGAATATGCTTAGAATGAACATGCAAGAATACCGTGGGAATTTCAAGGAGTGCTGATTAATTAGATTGCTTTTGTTGTGGTTAGCGCGTGGTGTGTGGTGTGTGTTAGCTGCTAGTGTTAGTGTTAAGGTTGCTAAATGCGCCGTGAGTAGGATCGTGGTAGAATATGCTAGAAATTTGTAGAGGCATGACTGTCTATGGTGCGGATAAGCTTGGATGAGTTGGTGAGAATAATTAAAGAACATGGCTGAATGTACATGGTAGGATCGAAGGGGGGGGGAATAAGGTAAGAATTTTAAAGGAACGTGGATGCGTATTTTGGGAAACAAACTTATTTGGTAACAACCTGAGTCGGTGGGAATTTTAAGGACCATGGCCGAATTTGCTGAAATTAAACGTGGGAGAATAATGTGGGAATTTTAAAGAACGTGGCTGGTTGTGCCGCGTCGTGGGAGAAGATAATGAAAACGGCGCAGGCATAGACGAGAAGGATAGGCGAGTGTGGTGGGAAGGAACACATGATGCGTGTAGTGACAACAGTGCATTAATGAGAGAGGTACGTGACAGAGGAACGCTTCTGGTACGACAATGCGCACCTGTATATCCGCAGATGACAAGTTATATACCCGCCGATCGTTACAATGGCGCCACTTGTTAACCCCGCGTGTGAACCCAGCTGCTAGACTGGTACTCACTCCCACCTCGATTACTCGATGGGGTAACTAATCGATAATCGATAATGGGGGTAACTAACCCCCATCGAGTAACTAAGCCGAGAGGTGGGACCGGGTACCAGTCTACGCAGCTGCGTTATGTTCGCCTGTTCATTTCAGAGGAGTGCAGTGCGCATGTGTGTGACACGCTGACGTGTAGGAATGGTGGCATGTGCATGCCCCTGTCTCCTGATGCTGCCGCGTGCGAGTGCCCTCTAGGCCACCATGGACAACATTGCGAACATTGTAAGCATGCGCATATAACGTACGTGTGTGTGTGTACGTGTGTATGCTTACGCGTGGGCGCGTGTTCGCGATGTATTGTAGCTCACAGAGAGCTTCATTTCTGAAATACGCGCGTATCGGGAGAGAGACACACCTGCTAGCACGAAGTGTTCCCTACGAACGTATTATCAACTTTATACTCGATCCTATACGATGGCTCGTATCTAACGCGGTTGATTGTGCTATGTCGCTCATGACTGGGCCGCTAACACCCTAGGGTGAACTACAAACTGATGACATAATGGAAACCTTTCTGAACCCTACATGCTTAGCTGTTTCCATCCGATGAAATTTGATTGTATGAAACACATTTAGTCACTGCTTAAATTGACATTTAATCAAACTGAAAGAAATGTCTTTCATTCATCAGTAATAAATTATGGTTGCGAGCGTGCAGCTTTTACTCATTATGACGGCTCGATCTATCATTTTACGGAATTTCTCCGTGTCATTGCAAATTAGAACCGAGACGAGTGGTCACGCGAAAGCATTGCCATTCAATAATTCCAATCGCGCTAAGTGCAAATGACCGTGCAAGGGTTTCTATGAATAACCCATATAAACTTTACGCAGGGGCGTGTACAGGATTTGTACCAGGGGGGGGGGGTCTAACCGTAACCCAAACTTGCGAGCACGCGAAGGGGGGTCTGGGGAAATTTTTTGAAAATAGACTCCCTTAAATGCGTTTTCTGCGCGAGCAGGGGGGGGTCCGGACCCCCTGGACCCCCCCCCCTTTGTACACGCCCCTGTTTACGGTAGCAATGTGATGATTATCGTACTGTCGTTATATTATCAGCCCGTAGAATAACACGCGGTTGCTAATCCACATTCGCACAGGTTCCGATTACGAATTTCTGCGTACATAATTGTTTTCCCAATTAAAACCATCCTTCTGGCGTCTTCTGTGATGAGCAAAAGCAATGGGGATTCATTCGTTAATTAAACAGCGGCATTATTGCGAAACTCCTTGAAATGTATATTTTCTCACGAAACAAGGTCGAGGATAACAATGGGTCACCGTGTTTTTCCAGGGCGATGCGAACGCAATCACGCGCAGACCACCGTCGAAGCTATCTAATTGCACTACACATTCACTTGTCTCGTCGGGCGCCATTTTTTTTAGAAGCGTGTTTTTTATTTGTAAATTGTTAATGTATATGTGTACGCACGCGCGCGTGCGTGTCGATGCGTGTTGGCCCGCGGTGTGACTATAATATGATGTTGAGTCTGCTAACCTGATGCGTTGCAGTGAATCGAGGCACAATGAACGCACACGGGAAACAGATTTTTTGCCGTTGCATTAAAAAGCACTTAAAAAACTAATCCGCGGCTCTCTGCCTAAGTGCAACGTTGTCGCGAATTAAATTAAGAAACTCGCTACAAATTTGTTCGGCGCATTATGCATATTAGTAGGAAGCAGGCTGTTAACGTGAGAACGCTGTGAAGACTGCGGGCCACATTATTGCTCGGAAAACAACGTATTATCAGGGGGCTACACTGTGAATGCTGTGAGAAAAGGGCTTTATAAAACGATCGATGACAATGAATCAATAAACGACCTAGAAATCGTGATTCAGTCTGTAAAAAAACGCACGGGCAATTTATTATATTGATAATAATTCTGCTAGGAGAACTCGGCTAATTTGCTCAAAAAACGATTACATTCGGAGACAATAAAATAAGACGGAGATAATTTCTCTAAAAATAAATTCCACCCCCCCACTCCACCCACACACACGCACGCGCGCACACACACACACACACACACACACACACACACACACACACATCTCTCTCTCTCAACACGGTTTGCTCAGAAAGTTAGAATAAGTGCCCAACTGAGAACGATTCAATACACAAGGGAGTAGTAACAGAACCATTACTGCCATCGTGAGCCGAATGTGTAGAAATCTATCGTTACGATGCAACCAGCTTGTAACGGCTTCCATCGAGGCCCACAGGGAAATAAAGGCCTTCCTCCGTGCCACAGATCGTTAGCTATATTCAGAGACGATCCGAATGAACACAAGTAATATTTGCCCCCCCCCCAAAAAAAAACCTCCCAGTATATTCATATGCCTATGCTACATCGTGATATATTCTCAGGGGGCTGTAACGGATTGATTTAGTGGGCGGCGGTTATAAGGAAGTATATATGACATTCACTGTCTTGATTTCGGATGTATGTTATTGATTCGATTTGCCTTGAATGTCTGAGCATGCTGATTAGGAATGTCGTTATCCTGCAGCACCTGACTGGCATGCTAGTTGATAAAATTTATACGGGCTTCCTTACGCTGTCACGTAACCATTTTTACTGTGCCTACCAATTTTGACGTTCTTATTCGATTTACTTTCGTGACGCGTGTATAAGGAAGTGTTTTTGCAAATCCAATATTATCCCTTACAGGGATACCTAATTCTTCTATGAAATATTTATAGTTGGATCGATGCGGATGAGCCATCCGTTCTTGAGTTATTTTGAAATTCCGACGTTATGTCGTACGTGCATAAACTATGTCAACACAGCTTGTTGGTGCAGGAGTAGTAGCAATAGAGGCATGCATGCTGCTGATGCAGCACTAGCAAGAGCAAGAGCAACAGCAGCAGCAGCAGCAGCAGCAGCAACAACAACAACAGCATCAGCAACCACAGAAGCAGCGGCGTCAGCAACAGCAGCAGCGTCAACAACAGCAGCAGCGTCAACAGCAGCAGGACCAGCAAGAGCAACAGCAGCAGCAGCAGCAGCAGCAGCAACAGCAGCAGCAACAACAACAGAAGCAGCAGCGTCAACAGCAGCAGCAGCGACAATAACAGCAGTGTCTCTCGTCTGCTGGGGCTAATGAGCCAAGCGTGTGCGAATGCGTGCGCGTGTGGTGGTGGTGTGTGGCACGGCGTGTATGCGGTGTGTGTGTGTGTGTGTGTGTGTGTGCTGTGTGTGTGTGTGTGTTTCTGTGAGTGTGTGTGTGTGTGTGTGTTGTGGTGTGCCGTGCGGTGCCACGTGCGTGCAATGCGTTTTGTGTGTGCGGTGTGTGTGTGTGTGTGTGTGTGTGTGTGTGTGTAGCGTCGCGCAGTACGCGCCGTCTAGTGTGCGTACGTGTGTGTGTGTACTGTGTATGCTAACGCGTCGCGCGCGTGTTCGCGATGTATTGGTTAGCCTCAAACATGCAAGGAGCTTGCGATATTCTGAATAGTAGTCGCGCGTACTGCGGGAGAGAGACACGACCTGGCGGTGAAGCATCGACAGTGTTCCCTACGAACGCTATATATTCAGCATTTATACTGCATCCTATACGATGCATCGTATCTAAAGCGAGCGTTGATTGTGCTATGTCGCCTCATGACGGCTGCGGCCGCTAACACCCCGAACTAGGGTGAACTACAAACTGATAAACATAATGGAAACCTTTCTGAAGCCCTACATGCTTAGGCGTGTTTCCATCCGATGAAAATTTGATATGTATGAAAAGCACATTTAGAGTCACGTGCTTAAATTGACATTTAAATCAAACTGGAAAAAATGTCTTTCATCATATCGAGTAAAAATTATGGTTTGCGAGCCGTGGCAGCTTTTACTCGATTATAGACGGGACTCGATCTATGGTTATTACGGAATTTGCTCCGTGTCATTGCCAAAATTAGAACCGCGACGAGTAGGTCACGCGAGAAAGCTTGCCATTCAATAATTCCAATCGCGCTAAGTGGCAAATGACCGTGCAAGGGTTTCTTATGGAATAACCCATATAAACTTTACGGCAGGGGCGTGTACAGGATTTGTACGCAGGGGGCGGGGGGGTCTTATAACCGTAATGAACCCAAAACTGAGCGAGCAGCAGAGGGGGCGTCTGGCGAGAATTTTTGACAAAGTGACTCGGGCTTAAATGCGTTTTCTTGCGCGGGAGCAGGGGGGGGGTCCGCGGTACCCCCTGGACCCCCCCCCCCCTTTTGTTACACGCCCTGTTTTGACCGGTGAGCAATGTGATGATTAAATCGTACTACGTCGTTATAATTATAGCCGCCGTTAGAATAAACACGCGGTTGCTAATCCACATATGCACAGGTTCCGATTACGAATTTCTGCGTACATCAATTGTTTCCCAATTAAAACCATCTTCTGCGTTCTCTGTGATGAGCAA